GCCAATTTGGAAATTGGGGGGGGGGGGGGGGGGGTGAAAAAATTGAGAAAAAAGTGAAAAAAATGGGGGGAAAAGTGAAAAAAAATGGGAATAAAGTGCAAAAAAAGGGAGAAAAAAGTGGGAGAAATGGGGGAAAAGAGTGAAAAAATGGGTGAAAAAGTGGAAAAATGGGGAAAAGAGCGGAAAAATGGGGGGAAAAGTGAAAAAAAATGGGAAAAAAGTGAAAAAAATGGGGGAAAAGAGTGAAAAATGGGGGGCAAAGTGAAAAAAATTGGGAAAAAAGTGAAAAAAATGGGGGGAAAAGAGTGAAAAAATGGGGGGCAAAGTGAAAAAAAATGGGGAGAAAAAAACCCCAAAACAGATTAAAAAGTCCAGAAAAGAGGAAACGGCCAAAAATACGGGAGAACCCCAAAAATGGGGATCGGGGAACCCCAAAATCTGGGATTGATCCCTAAAAAATCAGAGGAAACCCCTAAAAAAACCCAGAAAATGGGGGCAGGCAGTGGAAAAATGGGGGGAACGCCCCCAAATTTCCCCCCCGAACCCCCCGGGACCCCCCTCAGGATCCCCCGAGGACCCCCCCGGTCCCCCCCAAATCCTCTTAGCGTTAATCCAGCACCGGCTGGCGCGGGGGGATCCCCCCTCCCCCCCACCTCCGGACCCCCCTCGGGGGGCTCCGACCCCTGGGGGGGCTTTGGGGGGAATTTTGGGGGGGGGTTTGGGGTCCCTGACGCCCCCCCGGGCCCCCCCAGACGAGCGCGAGGCCGTGCAGAAGAAAACTTTCACCAAGTGGGTGAATTCTCACCTGGCGCGGGGGTCGCACCTGGGGGACCTTTACAGCGACCTGAGGGACGGGCGGCTCCTGCTGAGGCTGCTCGAGGGGCTCTCGGGGGAGACCCTGGTGAGTGAGTGAGACCCCTCCCCAAATTGGGGACACTCCCTTCAAAGGGGAACACCCCCAAAAAAACGGGAACTTCCCAATGGGGACCCTTCCCAAAATGGGGAAATCCCTGTGGGGATCCCCAAAAAGTGACCTCCCCCCCCCACCCTCACTCTTGGGGGAGGCTCTGGTGAGTGAGACCCCTCCCCAAATTGGGGACACTCCTCATGGGGACCCCCAGACCCTCCTGGACACCCCCAAATCCTCCCATGTGACCCCCAGCCCCCTCTGCCTCTCTCCCATCTGCCCCAAACCCCAATTTCTGTGACCCTCATCCCCCAAAGCCCCTCCCCAGACCCCCAAACCCCCCCAGACCCCGTTCCTACACCCCTCC